AAAAAAAAAAAAAAAAAAAAAAAAAAAAAAAAAAAAAAAAAAAAAGTTCTGTGCAAAGATATTCATGGAATATTATATAGCAAGGGAAACAATGTGGTACAATAAATTATGGTTCACTACCTCACAGAATGTCATCAAAATTATTCATGAATGGCTGGGTGTGGTGGCTGATGCCTGTAATCTCTGTATTTTGGGAGGCCAATGCAGGATAATCACTTGAGATCGGGAGTTCAAGACCGGCCTGGACACATGGTGAAACCCCATCTCTATTAAAAATCCAAAAACTAGCCTGGCATGGTGGCGCGAGCCTGTAATCCCAGCTACTCACGTGGCTGAGGCTTGAACCTGGGAAGCAGAGGTTGCAGTAAGCCAAGATCACACTCCAGCCTGGGAGACAGAGTGAGGCTGTCTCAAAAAAAAAAAAAAAAAAAAAAAGAAAGAAAAAAATCCTGCAAAAAAAAAAGGCAGTAAGATTTTAAAAAAGAGCAAACCCTAACTTTGAATAACCAGCTTTGAGATAATTTTCTTCTCATTCTTCTTATTTCTTACATCTTTTTTTTTTTTTTTTTTTTTGAGACGGAGCTTCGCTCTTGTTACCCAGGCTGGAGTGCAATGGCGCGATCTCGGCTCACTGCAAGCTCCGCCTCCTGGGTTCAGGCAATTCTCCTGCCTCAGCCTCCTGAGTAGCTGGGATTACAGGCACCTGCCACCATGCCCAGCTAATGTTTTGTATTTTTAGTAGAGACGGGGTTCCACCATGTTGACCAGGATGGTCTAGATCTCTTGACCTCGTGATCCACCCGCCTCGGCCTCCCAAAGTGCTGGGGTTACAGGCTTGAGCCACCGCGCCCGGCTATTTCTTACATCTTTTAAAAATTTTTGTTGGCCGGGCGCGGTGGCTCATGCCTGTAATCCCAGCACTTTGGGAGGCCAAGGCGGGTGGATCACCTGAGGTCAGGAGTTCAAGACCAGCCTGGCCATCATGGTGAAACCCCATCTTGAATAAAATAAAACTTAAAAAAAATTTTTTTTTTGTTACTATTTTTAGAGGCAAGGTCTTGCTCTGTTGCCCAGTCTGGAGAGTACTGGCACAATTATACGGCTTACCGCAGCTTTGAGTTCCTTGCCTCCAGAGACCCTCCTGCCTCAGCCTCCCAAGTAGCTAGGACTACAGACACATGCCACCTTGGCTGGCCTTTTTTTTTTTTTTTGGTAGACACTAGGTCCTGATATGTTGCCTGGTTTACCTTCACCTTTTTATAAATGTGAACACTCAGGTATGCCAAGGAGAAGCCAGCAAAACACTGGGAAAAACAGGCTACAGGAACAAGGCAAAAGTGATATCCTAGACACCAAGTGTTAAGATAGAGTGAACCCCAAGTTTCTCTTCAAAGAATCAGTATGTCAGTATGTTCAGCTCTCTTATTCTTTAATTCTTTAAAGTTTAACTTCCTTGTAGTTCCAGTAAACCACCTTTTCCACCAGTTCTAATCAGTGGTTCACATCTGTTCCCCCAGTCCCCTAGCCCGTCCTGACTCATCCGGATCAGCTGCTCCAGTCACCTGCTCTGACCTGCCCATAATCATCCTTCCTTCCAAACTACCCACCCTGCTACTCCGACTTGTACCCCTGCTCCCTTTAAAATAGCCAATTGGAATTATACTGGACTATGCAGTCTAACCCTAGCCAATAGGGGAAAAACACAACAGTAGTGGCGACCTCCATCAGGCATAAGTACCCCTTCCTTTCCTTGTCTAGGTGTGGGCTCGCCATTGTTCCATCTGTGAGCCATACCCTTCTATAGAAGTAAATTGCCTTGCTGAGGAAATTTATATTCCGGTGCTACTTCTTTTGTGGCATTGAAAATTCTATTTAAAGTTAAGAGTCCCAAAACAGGAAATGCACATGGCGCTAAAAGATAAACTAGAGCATAGCCTCTGTGAACCCCCAAAATTTGAGGTGGGTCTCAGTTAATTTAGAGTTTATTTTGCCAAGATTGAGGACACACGCCCATGATACAGCCTCAGGAAGTCTTGACATGTGCCCAAGGTGGTTGGGGCACAGCTTAGTTTTATACATTTAGGGAGACATGAGACATCAATCAATATATGTAAGAAGTACATTGGTTCGGTCTGGAAAAGCAGGACAAGGCAGGAAGACTCTGGAAGCTGGAAGGGAGGTTCCAGGTCACACACAGGTGAGAGACGAAGGTTGCATTCTTTGGAGTTTCTGATTAGTCTTTGGAAGAGAGGCAATCAGATATGCATCTATGTCAGTGAGCAGAGAAGTGACTTTGAATAGAATGGGAGGCAGGTTGGCCCTAAGCAGTTCCCACCTAGACTCGTCCCTTTAGCTTGGTGATTTGGGGGCCCCCAAGATTTTCCTTTCACACCTCTTACATTCTCATACAGGCTGCCACCAGCCATCAGAGGAATGGTGAGATACAAACTAGAATAGGTTGAGTGAAACTCAAGAAATTTGGAGGGCACATATAAAATACTATTTCTGGAATCTTGACAGTATAGTGGAAGGAGATAGGATCTAAGATAAATTTTTTGTTTTGTTCCTCCAAACATGTTCCAGACCCAGGGAGGAAGCAGATAATGGAAATACCTGAGGAAGATTCAAGAAACTAGTATGTAGGCCGGGCGCGGTGGCTCAAGCCTGTAATCCCAGCACTTTGGGAGGCCGAGGCGGGTGGATCACGAGGTCGAGATCGAGACCATCCTGGTCAACATGGTGAAACCCCGTCTCTACTAAAAATACAAAAAATTAGCTGGGCATGGTGGCACGTGCCTGTAATCCCAGCTACTCAGGAGGCTGAGGCAGAATTGCCTGAACCCAGGAGGCGGAGGTTGCGGTGATCCGAGATCGTGCCATTGCACTCCAGCCTGGGTAACAAGAGCGAAACTCCGTCCCCAAAAAAAAATAATAATAAAAAAATAAATAAATAAATAAATAAAAATAATAATAATT